TTAAATGGGATCCTCTTGGTAATCACAAGTCAGAAACCTATAATAAGCAAGAAAAAAAGTAAGACAAAACAAGTCAAACATATTACTAAAGAAAGCCATCAAGCCACAAGGGAAGAGAGCAAGAGAAAAAGACAGGAACAGAGAGGAACTACTAAAACACCCAGAAAAAAAAGTAACAAAATGGCAATAAATACATATTTATCAATAGTTACTTTAAACGTCAGTGGACTAAATGCTCCAGTCAAATGTCATAGGTTGGCCAATTAGATAAGAAAACAAGACCCATGTATATGCTGCATACAAGAGACACACTTCACACCTAAAGACACTCACAAACTGAAAGTGAAATGATGGGAAAAGATATTCCATGCAAATGGCAAAGAAAAGAAAGTGGGGATAGCAATACTTATATCAGACAAGATAGACTTTAAAACAAAAACTGTAACAAGAGACAAAGACGGGCACTACATAATGATAAAGGGAACAATCCAACAAGAAGATATAACACTTGTAAATATCTATGCACCCAACATAGGAGCACCTAAATATATAAAGCAATTATTAACAGATATAAAAGGAGAAATAGACAGTAACACAATAATAGTGGGGGACTTTAACACTCCATTTACACCAATGGATAGATCATCCAAACAGAAGATCAGTAAGGAAACACTGGCCTTAAAGGACACATTAGACAAGATGGACTTAGTAGATATATACAGAACATTCCATCCAAAAACCACAGAATCCACATTCTTTTCAAATGCACATGGAACATCCTCTAGGATTGATCACATATTAGGCCATGAAACAAGTCTCAATAAATTTAAGAAGATCGAAATAATACCATGCATCTTTTTTGACGTCAAAGGTATGAAACTAGAAATCAACTACAGGAAGAAAACCAGAAAAGCCACAAAAATGTGGAGATTAAACAAAATGCTACTGAACAATGATTGGGTCAATGAAGAAATCAAAGGAGAAATCAAAAAATTCCTGGAGACAAATGAAAATGAAAATACAACATGCCAAACAATATCTGTGGGATACAGCAAAACCAGTTCTAAGAAGGAAGTTTATAGCAATTCAGGCCTACTGGAACAAAGAAGAATAATCCCAAATAGACAATCTAAAAGCGCATCTAAAGGTACTGGAAAAAGAACAACAAACAACGCCCAAAATCAGCAGAAGGAAGGAAATAATAAAAATCAGAGCAGAAATAAATGATATCGAGACTAAAAAGAACAATAGAAAAAACTAATGCAACCAAGAGCTGGTTCTATGAAAAGATAAACAAAATTGACAAATCCTTAGCTAGACTCACCAAGAAAAAAGAGAAGTCTCTGATTTTACAGAAATGAAAGAGGAGAGATTACAACGGATACCTCAGAAATACAAAAGATAAGAGAATACTATGAAAAGCTATATGCCAACAAATTGGATAATCTGGAAAAAATAGATAAATTCCTAGAAACATACAACCTTCCAAAACTGGTCTAAGAATAAGCAGAAAATTTGAATAGACTGATCACCAGTAAGGAGACCGAAACAGTAATCAAAAACCTCCCAAAAAATAAAAGTCCAGGACCAGATGGCTTCCCTGGTGAATTCTACCAAATATTCAAAGAAGACTTAATACCTATCCTTCTCAAACTCTTCCAAAAAATTGAAGAGCAGGGGAGGCTTCCTAACTCATTCTACAAAGCCAACATCATCCTGATACCAAAACCAGACAAGGACAACACAAAAACAGAAAATTACAGGCCAATATCACTGATGAACAATGATGCAAAAATCCTCAACGAAATACTAGCAAATCGAATACAACAGTACATTAAAAAGATCATACATCATGATCAAGTCGGTTTCATTCCAGGGATGCAGGGATGGTTCAACATCCACAAATCTATCAACATGATACACCACATTAACAAAGTGAAGAATAGAAATCACATGATCATCTCAATAGATGGCAGAGGAAGCATTTGACAAGATACAGCATCCATTTATGACAAAAATTCTAAATAAAATGGGTATAGAAGAAAAATACCTCAACATAATCAAGGCCATATATGACAAACCCACAGCAAACATCATTCTCAATGGAGAAAAACTGAAAGCTATCCCTCTAAGAACAGGAAGCAGACAAGGATGCCCACTGTCACCACTCTTATTTTACATAGTATTGGAAGTCCTAGCCCTAGCAATCAGGCAAGAAAAAGAAAGAAAAGGGATCCACATTGGAAAAGAAGAAGTGAAATTGTCACTCTTTGCAGGTAACATGATTTTATACATAGAAAACCCTAAAGAATCTACTAAAACACTTTTAGAAACAATAAAGGAATACAGTCAAGTTGCGGGATACAAAATCAACATACAAAAATCGGTTGCATTTCTATACACTAACAATGAAGTAGCAGAAAGAGACGTCAAGAATCCAATCCCATTTACAGTTGCAACAAAAAGAATAAAATACCTCGGAATAAACTTAACCAAACAGGTGAAAGATCTCTACACTGAAAAGTATAAAACGTTGAAAGAAATCAAAGGAGACACAAAGAAATGGAAAGATATTCCATGCTCTTGGATTGGAAGAATTAACATCTTTAAAATGTCCAGACTTTCTAAAGCAATCTCTAGATTCAACACAATCCCTATCAAAGTTCCAACAACATTTTTCACAGAAATAGAACAAAGAATCCTAAAATTTATATATAACAAAAAAGACTCCGAATAGCCAAAGGATTCCTGAGAAAAAAGAACAAAGCTGGAGGTATCACACTCCCTGACTTCAAAATATTCTACAAAGCCATAGTAACCAAAACAGCATGGTACTGGCACAAAAACAGACACACAGATCAGTGGAACAGAATAGAGCCCAGAAGTAAACCCACACATTTCTGGACAGCTAATATTCGACAAGAGAACCAACAGCATACGTTAGAGAAAGGAGAGTCCCTTCAGTAAATGGTGTTGGGAAAACTGGACAGCCACGTGCAAAAGAATGAAAGTAGACCATTCCCTTACACCATGCACAAAAGTCAACTCAAAATGGATTAAAGACTTGAGTGTAAGACCTGAAGCCATGAAACTTCTAGAAGAAAACATAGGCAGTGTTCTCTTTGACATCAGTCTTAGCAGCATGTTTTCAAGTACCATGTCTGTCCAGACGAGGGAAACAAAATAAAAAATGAACAAATGGGACTACATCAAACTAAAAAGCTGCACAGCAGAGGAAACCATCAACAAAACGAAAAGGCAACCTAACAATTGGGAGAAGATATTTGCAAACCATATAACAGATAAGGGGTTAATATCCAAAATATACAAAGAACTCATACAGCTCAACAACAATAAAACCAACAACCCCATTAAAAACTGGGCAAAGGATCTGAACAGAGATTTCTCCAAAGAGGCTATACAGATGGCCAACAGGCATATGAAAAGATGCTCAACATCCTTAGCTATCAGGGAAATGCAAATCAAAACTACAATAGGGTATCACCTGACTCTGGTCAGAATGGCTATAATTAACAAGATGGGAAGCAACAAATGTTGGCGAGGATGTAGAGGGAAGGGAACCCTTGTACACCGTTGGTGGGAGTGCAAACTGGTGCAGCCACCGTGGAAATCAGTATGGAGTATCCTCAGAAAATTAAGAATAGATCTACCATATGATCCAGCTATCCCACTGCTGGGTATTTATCCAAAGAACTTGAAAACGCAAAGGCATAAAGATACTTGCACCCCTATGTTCATTGCAGCATTATACACGATAGCCAAGACTTGGATGCAACCTAGGTGCCCATCAAGGGACGAATGGATAAAAAAGATATGGTATTTATACACGATGGAATACTACTCAGCCATAAGAAATGATGAAATCTGGCCGTTTGTGACAACATGGATGGACCTTGAGGGTATTATGGTGAGTGAAATAAGACAGAGGGAGAAAGTCAAATACTGTATGATGTCACACATAAGTAGAATATAAAAACGACGACAAACACACACATAGCATTGGAGATTGGATTGGTGGTTACGATAGGGGAAGGGGGCAGTGGGGAGGGCAAAAGGGGTGATTAGGCTCACATGTGAGGGGATGGACTATAATTGGTTTTTGGGTGGTGAACATGATGTAATCTACACAGAAGTCGAAATATCTTATGATGTACATCTGAAAGCCATGTAATGTTATGATCCAATGTTACTGCAATTTAAAAAATTAAATAAATTAAAAATAAAAAAACTTGCAACACAAATATTGGCAATGATGTGGAGTAACTGGGACTCTCATACACTGATGGTACAGCAACTGTGAGGGATGTCAAAATAGCCAAAAACCGGGGGCCGGCCCAGTGGCACAGCAGTTAAATTCGTACATTCCACTTTGGTGGCCTGGAGTTCGCTGGTTTGGATCCTGGGTGTCGACATGGCACCGCTTGTCAAGCCATGCTGTAGTAGGCGTCCCACATATAAAGTGGAGGAGGATGGGCACAGATGTTGGCTCAGGGCCAGTCTTCCTCAGCAAAAAGAGGAAGATTGGTGGCAGATGTTAGCTCAGGGCTAATCTTCCTAAAAAAAAAAAAATAGCCAAAAACCGAAAAGAGCCTAAGTGTTTATCAGTAAAGGAATTAAATAAATCATGGTGTTATTTGTGTGCATTATTATACACACAACACTATTGTACACAAAATAAATTGTATAATTTATTGTAATAAATAAAGAGTAATAGACTACTCTGCAATAAAAAGGAACTATTCATAAATACAGTATGAATGAATCTCTCCACAATATTATGCTGAGCCAAAGAAGCTGGATACCAACTAGTATCTACTGGTGGTACCATTTATAGGAGGTTCTAGAACAGGCAAAAAACTATGGTGTAAAAATATGGTGGAGGTAACTGTAGAGGGATATAAAGGAAACATCAGGGGTGATGGAAATGTTCTATATCATGATAGGGATGTGGGTTACTCAAATATATATGTTTATAAGACTCTTTCAATTATACATTAGATTTGTGCGTTTCACCTTAAGTAGATTTTACTTAAGACTAACAAATATCAAACTCTAGATGATATGTTTGTTTTTTGCAGAGATGATTAGCAGTTGAGAAACTTCTTTCTGTGTATTCTAAGCTTCAGCAGATGAGTAAAAATATTGAGGATAATGGGAACCAAGTTTCTCCCTGCTGGAGAAGAGAATAACAAGGGTGTAAGGGGTAAGACAGATAGCTATGAAATGTAATCATGAGGAAACAGCCTAGTTCAAATTGAAGGATGTTCTACACTGTAATTCGCCTGTACTTTCCAAATCTTTCAAGGTCAAGAGTACAAAGAGACCAAAAATGGGAGAGTAGGTAACTCCAAAACTACATCCCTCCACTAAGACAATAATTAAGTTGGCAAAAACTGTAAATCATATCTCTGGAATCTAATCAAAGACTTTAAACAACCAGGGGAGTACTTAAAGAAGAAAGAGGCTGCTGAAATTTGGTAAGAGAATGTTGTGGTGTTTTAACTTACCTGATGACCATCCCTCACTCCCTAGCATGATGGCAGCCACAAAGATTGTGGCCCCCATTCCTGGTACAGCTCTCTGATGCCAGAGGAAACAGTGCAGACCTTGTTCGTTAAGAATGTGGATGTGGACATTGACCTGTTTAGTCAATGTGGAATTGGCTTGTGGGCTTTCCTTTGTTTCACCCACCTTGAAGCTTTCTTGAGGCTGGGGTGGCCTCCCAGGTGGCATTTGTCAAAAGCATTTAAAGGCAAATATACTAGCCACAGCAACCTGAGAGAAGCAGCAGACAGACCAAGAAGCCTGGGAAGAAAGAGGCTACAGCAGGAGATGAGAGAACAAGGACTTTGTGATACTCTACCGTATACCACAGTCTCTGGAAGGCCATGTACATGCTGAGGACTGAATGAATACTTACAAGAAACCTTAGCAGACCCTAAGCTTTCACCTCTGGCTGGATTTTAGCTTATGCAGGTAGTGAAGGCAAAGGCAGAATTGTAAACAATTGCTAAACATGAAAAGAATGCCCAACACAGAGCCAATCTGCAAAGACTGGGAGAGTTTTTGTTTTGTTTTGCTGCTTTTTTTGCTCCAAGGATTGAAGGAATTCTGTGTTAGATAACTAACTGACCACTAAGGAAATGCAACAGAGACTTGAGTGATCATGCTCGGCAAAGCATGCAGTATATACAAAAATAATTTAGAAAAGTCACTAAACAAATGACTACAACCCACACATACAGCATCAACCAACCCTGAGGAGGAAGGAGAATCTGATTTCCTGAGTTACCATATGTAATATACAAAATGTTCAGTTTTCAACAAGAAATTATGCTTGCAAAGAATTAATAAACTATGGCCCATTCACAAGGGAAAAAAAGAGGAACTATCCTTGAGAAAGCTCAGATACTGCACTTAGTACAAACACATTTTAAATCATCTGTCTTAAGTATACTCAGAGATAAGGAAACTACAGACAACTTAAAGGAAACAAGGGGAGTGATGTATGAACTAACAGTTTCAATAAAAAGAGATACGAATTATAGAAAGGTATCAAGTAGAAATTCTGGAACTGAAAAGTACAATAGCTGAAAGAAAAATTTCACTGAAGGGGTTCAACAACAGATTTGAACAGGCAGAAAAAAGAATCAGTGAACTTGAAGACAGGTCAATTGATATTATCCAGTCAGAGAAGCAGAGAGAAAAAAGAATGAAGATAAATGAACAGAGTTTAACAGACCTTTATGACATCATCAAGTGTACCAACATATGTATAATAGGAATCTCAGAAGGCAAGGAGAGAGAGAAGGAGACAAAAAGAATATTTGAAGAAATAATGGCTGAAAACTTTCCAAATTTAATGAAATACATGAATCTACACATCCAGGAAGCTAGATAAAGTCTAAGAAGATAAGCTCAAAGAGACCCACACTGAGACATGTAATCAAACTGTCAAAAGCTAAAGACAGAATCTTGAAAGCAGCAAGAGAGAAGCAACTCATCACATACAAAGTATCCATAATAAGATTAGCAACCAATTTCTCATCAGAAATCACGAAGACTAGAAGGCAGTGGGATGACAAATTTAAAGTGCTGAAAGAAAAAAAAATTTTCAACCAATAATTCTATACCTGCAAAACTATGCAAAAATGAAGGAAATGATAAGCCATTCTCAGATGAATAAAAGCTGAGGGAGTTTGTTGCTAGTAGAGCTACCCTACAAAAAAGGCTAAAGGAAGTCCTTAAGGCTGAACTGAAAGGACACTAGACAATAACTTGAAGCTATGTGAAGAAATAACACCAGTAAAGGTAACAACATAGGTAAATATAAAAGCCAGTGTTAGTGTATATTTGGTTTTTAATTCTTTTTTTCCCTGTGTGATTTAAAAGATAAATCATAAAACAATAATTATAAATATGTGTTAATGGGCTCACTGTATAAAGATATAACTTATGAAAATAACAACATAAAGGAGATGGAGCTCTATAGGAGCAGGGTTTTTTTTAATACTATTGGAGCTAAGTTGATATTAATTCAAACTAGATTTCTCTAAATTTAAGATGTTAATTATAATCTGCAAAGTAACCCCTAAGAAAATAACTGTGTATGGCTCCATTTTTATGAAATATCCAGCAAAAAAGTTAATCCATAGAGACAGAAAGCAGATTAGTGGTTTCCAGGGGCTAGAGGGAGGGGGCATGGGGTGTGACTGCTTAATGGATAAAGGGTTTCCAAATGGGATGATGAAAAAGTTCTGAAACTACATAGTGGTGATGATTTCATAACATTATGAATGTACTTAATGCCACTGAGTTGTACACTTTAAAATAGTAAGTTTTATGTTATGTGCATTTTACCACAATTTTAGAACACCATAACAACATGATCAGTGTGGTACTGCCATAAAGATAGACATATAGATGAATGGAATGAAATTGAAAGTCCAGAAATAAACCCACACATCTGTGGTCAATTAATTTTCAGCAAGGGTCCCAAGACCGTTCAGTGGTGAAAGAATCTTTTCAACAAATAGTTTAGGGTCAAGTGGCTGTCCACATGTGAAAGAATGAAGTTGGACCCCTACCTCACATTACCTGCAAAAGTTAACTCAAAATGGATCAATTACCTAAATATAAAAGCAAAAAACTACAAAACTGTTGTAGGAAACATAGGGGTAAATCTTCATGACTTTGGATTTGATAATGGGGTCTTAGATATAACATCAAAGGGACAAACAATAAGAAAAAAATAGACAAGTTGAACTTCATCAATATTTAAAATTTTTCTGCATCAAAGCACATTATCAAGAGAGTGGAAAGGTAATGCAAAGAATCGGAGAAAATATTTGCAAGTCATATATTTGATATGAGTTTAGTATACAGAATATATAAAGACAAATAACCCAATTCAAAAATGAGCAAAGGATTTAAATAGACATTTCTCCAAAGAAGTTATACAAATGGCCAACAAACACATGAAAAGGTGCTCAACGTCATTAGGCACTAGGGAAATGTAAATCAAACCACAATGAGATGTCACTTCACACTCACCAGAATGGCTATAATTTAAAAAAAGAAAAGAAGTGTTGATGAGGATGCAGAGAAATCGAAATGCTTGTACTTTGCTGGTAGTGGTGTAAAATGATGCAGCCTCTGGCAAACAGTTTGGTCATTCCTCAAAAACTTAAACATAGAGTTGTGATATGACCTAGCAATTCCACTCCTAGATATATATCCAAAAGAATTGAAAGCAGATAGTCAAACAAATGCTTGTACATGAATGTGCATAGTAGCACTATTCACAATAGCTGAAAGGTAGAAACACCCCAAATGTCCTTCAATGGATGAATGTATCAGCAAACTGCACTATATGTAATGGAATATTATTTGGCAATAAAAATGAATGACCTACTGATTGATACTACAGCATGGATGAACCTAGAAAACATTATGTTACAGGAAAGAAGCCAAACCCAAAAGGCCTACATATTATGGTTAAATGGTTAAAATGGTGAATTTTATGTTATGTGAATTCTACCACAATCAAAAACAATAATAAACTTCCAAAGGAAAAAATAAGGGCAAGAAAGCTGTTCTGGATTAGTGGGGATTAAAGATACTTAACAACTAAATGCCATTTATGATTGCGGATTACATCCTGGACTCGGAGAAAAGTAGCTATACAGGAAATTATTGGGACAGTTGACTAAATTTGAAAATAAACTGTGGATTAGATAATAGTATATATCAGTATTAAATATCTTGGTTTTATTACATTTATACTATGGTATGTAAGAGAATGTCTTTGTAGGAAATATATACTGAATTGTTTAAGTGTAAAGGGGCATGTGTCTCCAACTTACTTTCAAAATAGTGCAAAAGAAAACATTTATCTATATAAAATGATAAAGCAAATAGGGTAATACATAAGCTATTGGTAAATCTCAGTAAAAAGTATATGAGAGTTCCTTATGAGAATATTTCTACTTCTCTGAGTTTGAAATTATGTCACATTCAAAGTTACTAACAAAATTAGATTTGTCTTTTTATCTTCTGAGCTGAAGCGTAGTCCAGATGATTGTAAGAAAAATAATGTTAGATATGCTTCTTTGGCTTAGCTGGCTCATTTCACTCTGTCCTTAGACTTTCGTCTGTTTCTCAACTTCTGGATCCCAATATATTATTTATTTTATTTGCTTATAGCAATCTCTCCATAAGATTATTACATAATTAATAAAAAGTACTCAACTTCTATACACATTTGTTGTTCTGCCTAGTAATGGTATGCCTTTGGGAGCCAATTCTCATTTTGTGTATTTTTTCTTACATGCTTTACTTTTGCATTATCTTGGATAATGTAAGAGATGTAACCATTTGTTTCTTTTATTTTGAGAAATTAAAATATTAATTTCCCAGTGAAAGGCCTTGCTGCTCTAGTTCTCATCCAATAGCTTTTTTGTCTAAAATTCGTGTTTAATCTCTTGGTAGAAGATCAAGTGTGGTATGAGATCTGACCTTAATTTGAACCTGTTGGACTATGTGCTCATTTTTGTTGTCGACTCAAAGAAGTAATCTCTAAATGCTGTCCAGCAGGACCGTGCTTTCTGTCCAACACAAATGAGTCAGGGAAGCCATTTCCTAAGAAGAATCTGCCATCAAAACCTCTTACTGCTTTGTTGGCATTCAAGTATGGATTTTTACCAGTCCGTGGTTACTGTTTCATGTGAACAAGCAAATATCCAGTAAAGGCTATTTTGAGTGGATTTACTAAGAAGATCATGATAATTCATTTGGTACTTGTGTTTTCAATTGGTTAACTAGCTTTCTTTCCTTTGTGGTGTATGATGGGATCTCCACTAGACAGAGGTAACCTATTGGATAGTTGGATACCTGGATGCTGATGTGGTGGTGCTTGTTGGTTTAGTTTTCATGATACTCCTCCTGAGGTTATGCTTGCAATGCTGCTTCTTATTCTGTGCTTGCATGATGTTATTACTGTGGATTGCGCTTTGTTGGTTTGGGTTCTTAAAACCTCCCATTTCTTTTTTTATTATCCAGAATAATTCCTTGAATATCTGGTTGGTTCAGAACTTACAGAAATTAGTTGCAAGTCTAACTTCCTGGTGGATCCTTTTCAGTTTTTGAAAATATCTTCAGTATCACCACTAAGTGTATGGTTTGGCTAGGAATTCAGAAAACGGGGTAGGTTTGCTTCAACACCCAGGAAGAGACCACTTACTAGACAGGCCATTACTGAAGCTGAGAATTAACTCTCTTTGTGACTTTTATAGCTTAAAGAAAATGAATACATTCTTAGAGTAAAAGCTAAGTTTTTGGAGAGTTTTATCAAATAGCTGAAATTTAGAATCCTCCACCAAGGTAATAGCAAATATAATTAAATGAAACCATGCCTAAAGCTTGGCGTGCATGTCTAGTTGGCCGTTATATTTCAGAGATGCTGTTTACTCTGCAAACTGTTCTACTTTCCAAAACTAAGGTTCTTGGGGCTCATAAGGTAAAAATTAAAATTACTATTTCAGAAATTAGTTTTCTGAGCATTTGTATGGGCCTTGGAAATAGTTGCTTGCCTCTTCATTTCTAATCACAAGTAGTATAGTTTTTCTTGGGCAGTTAGAACTGATTTCATTTTAGTTTCTTCATTTGTTTTTTTTTTTTTTTCTGCCTTATATATCTCTATAGAAAAAGGTGGATTGTTTTTAAAACTTAGAAACAATACCAGTCCTGAAGTGGGCCTGTATATGTTAAATGGCAGGAGTTCATAAAATTGAAATTATTTTCCAGTGTTCATATTAAGCCAGTGTTGAAACAAAAAAACAAAGTCATCTTTGTCTTATAATTTTAAATCATCTTGAAAACTGTAAAGGATCCATTAATTTGGAATGGCCGTCAGAGAAATGCTTATGATAAATAGCATAAAACTGTCAGATAAATGATGATTCATCTCTAACTACTTATGTTCTCATTCTGTTATATCTTCTTTTTATCTTTTGATTGGACTCATACATTTAATAGAAAATTGCCCAGGAACGAGAAAAATTTGCTGATGAAGGCAGTATATTTTACACCCTTGGAGAATGTGGACTCATATCCTTTTCAGACTACATTTTCCTTACAACTGTTCTTTCCAGTAAGTATAAACTTTTCATTTTATTCTTTTATAGGGAGCATACAGAACTATAAAAAGAATTAATCAGAGGGGGAAACAAGTTATGTTTGTAGAGTTAATAAATTGTAAATTACATAAAATTTCGTGTGTTTTGAATTCTCTCTAACTTGTGTATAGAACCACCTGAGAAAGTGGAAGGAAAATAAGTATCAAAGTAAAGTTAAAAAAATAAAGCAACTATGAAGTTACATCTGCCTTTAACTGTTTGAAGCTCTGTATTCTGTCAAGATAAATTGTATATTACCTACTCCTACTGTAGCCTTCATTAATGTTTCTACTTCCCCAATAGAACACAGATTGATCTATCATTTCCTCCACTAAAGAGGAAAATTGGCTCAAGTGTTCTAATTGTGTTAGAATATTCATTTTTGTTTGTTTGTTTTTCTTTTTGGTTTTGGTGAGGAAGATTGGCCTTCAGCTAACATCTGTTACCAATCTTCCTCTTTTTGTTCGAGGAAGATTGTTGCTGAGCTAACATCTGTGGAAGTCTTCCTCTGTTTTGTATGTGGGACGCTACCACCCCATGGCTTGATGAGCAGTGCCTAGGTCCACACCTGGGATCCAAACTCACAAACTCTGGGCTGCCAAAGCAGAGAACACAAACTTAACCACTATGCCACAGAGCAGGCCCCTTGAATATTCATTTTTCAATCTTAGAGGATTACTTCTTAAGACAAAACTCAAATTTGACTCATTTAGCACACTGATGAGTTTCTAAATTTTTTTAAGCTAAGCAATTTTGTTGATTAGTATGCTGCTCTGTTTCTTAATATTATTTCCCTATATTGTGCCTTTTTTAACCATTCAGAAAAACAAAACAAAATGTATGTTTCTAGTTCTCTGTGTACACTGTATTAAAATCTACCCAAATTGAACCAAAGAGATCTTATTTGTGCGTTTGAAAGAGATGATTCTCAGTTTTTTTCCATCTGGGACATATCAAACAAAAATAACCATCTCTTCCTTCCTTTCTCCAGGCTAGTCATCTGTAAAGATAAAACTATATGACACTTTTTAATAAATGACATAACACAGTTCCTGCCATGGCTCTGACCACTTACACCATTCTTTCCTCTGATTAGGACAGGAAAATGAAGAAATATGGACTAATATGCCTTACCACAGCTGTCTTTGGAGTACCAAAGTATTTGAATAAATTTGTGTGGTGGACTTATGCTCTAGCAATGTAAATATACATTGATTTGTTGTGAAGATCCAAAATAGAAAACTAAGTAAAAGCACATTTATGATCTTAAATTGTGTATTGTTAGAGTTAGTTATTATTTTGGTAGGGCATGGGTTTTCAAAACAGACTTCAGTTCAAATCCTGGCCCCGTCACTTCTTAGCTTTGTGATTCGGGGCAAGTCAGTGAACTTGTTCATCTGTTTTGTGTGTAAAATGAAGATGGCAATAATACCAAACCCAAATGATTTATCTGAAGATTGTGAGATCATGTATATAGAGTACCTGGTTCAGTGCCTAGTATTTAGTTGATATGCGATCTGTCTGGGTTTTTATTCTTGATATCCTGTCACAACATGTTATTTCATATTTGATTTTAAGAGATCCCTAAATCTTGTCATTAAAAAAAACAGGATTGGTGGGGATTTTTTAAACTTTATTGTGACTTTGGATAGAGTTTACATTAAATAGGCATGATGTGGCAGAAAGAGCACTGCATTAAGTGCAAAGGCCAACGTAGAGAACTGTATTGATGTATAATGTATATTATGGAAGTAGTCCTAGTAAATGTTTGTTTAGCTCAAGTGAGATTTTAAGTTTTTGTCTTCGTGTCATTCTAAGTGTCAGAAGGCCCATAGAGTAGAACCTTCAGAATACCTCATACATTGTGCAGCTCCCTTAATTCAATAATTTAAAAGGAGGTAAAAATAAGTCATATTGACCCTTGAGTTCTGGAAACCCCTTCAAGTAGCTCTGCAGGTCTGGGCATCTTTACTTCTTGGTGCTCAGCTCCTGCTTAGACATGGTGAGTGATTTACAAAATTGCTTAGTATTGTGATGTCATATACTTTCTATATTTGTCAGGAAAGAGAAAATATGATAAGAATCTCATTTTAAGATTTTCTCGTTATCACTGGTTTTAAGCATTTTGATTATTATATGCCTGGAGTGTTTCTCAGCATTAGCACTATTGATGTTTTGGGCAGGATAATTCGTTGTTGTGAAGGCTGTCTTGTGAATTGTAGGATGGTTAACAACATTCCTGGCATCTACACACTAGATGCCATTAGCACACCATCTCTCCTCGCCCCTCTCCCGTTTGTGACAACCAAAAATGTCTTCAGAAATTGCATATGTCCCAGGAGGAGTGGGGATGGGGAGGAATCATCCCTGGTTGAGAACCACTGATGTAGTTTTTGACAGGGTTTTTTGTTGTTATTATGTGGCTTGATGTAGTGGTCTTCATGTTTCTTGTCTTGGAGTTTTTTGGATCTGTGGATTTATAGTTTTCATCAAATTTGGGAAAATTTCAGCTGTTATTTTTTCAAATGCTTTTTCTTTGCTTTCTCATCCTCTCCTTTGGGGACTCTAATTACACATATATTTTCCTCACATCAACACTATAATGTTCATACTATTATAATATTGATTTTATAGATGAGGAAATTGAGGCATACAGATGTTTAAAGAATTTGCCCTGAGTCCCACAGTAAGTAGATAATTTAGGGTTTGATATTTTCTTTTCTTTTTTTTTTTTTTTGAGGAAGATCAGCCCTGAGCTAACTACTGCCAATCTTCCTCTTTTTGCTAAGGAAGACCGGCCCTGAGTGAACATCTGTACCCATCTTCCTCTCTTTTATATGTGGGACACCTACCACAACATGGCGTTTGCCAAGCGGTGCCACGTCCATACCCAGGATCTGAACTGGTGAACCCTGGGCGGCCTGAGAAACGGAATGTGCGAACTTAACTGCTGCGCCACTGGGCTGGCCCCTGATTTAGGGTTTGAACCCAGGCCGCCCCAGCATCTGGGGTCCTGTCACTTGGCTTTACTGATGTGGTCACATTTTCAGCAGTGATTAGCCGTGGTTTACCTTAGTGACTCTTCTTTCTCTAAGGCTAGGCTGTGGGAAGACTGGTCATAAACTCTTCTGTAGAGAGTTCAAGCATCCTTGCAATCTGAATGTTGCACACTGCATTGTCTACTTTATCTAACAAGCCATGGGGAAAAATATGCCACAGAAATTACACTGAGATCAGTTCTTTCACATGTCCAAATTGCTACTAGGATGAAAGGAAATGAGAGTCAGAGGATCAACTTCCTTGTGGGTAGCAAGGGATCATTACATCTAGATACACTAAATGATGACTAAATCATCCTGCAAGAGTTAGTGCAATTTTTAAACACTAAAAGCCATGCCAGGGAGTGGCTTGGGACTAGGGGAAAGTGCATTAGCATTTGCATTCACCTGTTACTCTGGTGGACAACAGGGACCGTCCTTGAGATTTCCAATGGAAACCCAGCCACAGCAATGCAAACAGCATAACCCAGATAATGCAGGACTGTCATATTTCTGATTAGCTGGGGTTTTTTTTCAAAATTAATAGATTCAGTGGTGTTCAAGAAATTGCCAGAAATTGCCATCATTTGAAGAACATGAACACTCTGCCCAAATGGATTGACACTTAGAACCTCAAAGTACTGTAGAAACTCTACATGTTGTCTAAAATAAAATTTGACAACTATATATAGTAAATCATTCGTTTTTTTCTCAATTTCTAATTACCTCTCCTAAAAATAAAATTAAGAAAGCTACTTGTCTAAGAAAGCATGTTATGCTATATAATTTCCCCCATTAAATAAATTCTTATTTAAACTTTTTAGAAGCTCAATTTTTAGCTAAACAAGAATTTCTTAGACACATACCCAGAATAACAACCAATTTGGGAGAAATGTCTTGTGTTTATAATAAGCAGTGGCATAAATTTCTCACTCTTCTCTGTATGTACTTTGGATAATGGGGGCCATCTTTGGCAAACCTAAAATTTTAAACACCTTTTATCCTGTCATACACACACACACATACACACCTCCTAAATCCCTTTCCTACTTTAATTTTTCTTCTTGGCATTTATCACTATTTAACATTCTATATAGTTAATGTCTTTATCTTGTTTATTTACATTCTCCCTAGAATGTAAACTGCATGACAGTGATCATAGATTTGTAGTCATATTCACTGCAAATATATCTACTGTATATAAAGTATTGTGGCAAGGTAACAAAGCAAGAATATGAACTTTTTTTTCAATTTTCTCCAAAAGGAAGTTTAGCAAACATAAGACTTGACTTTTCTGTTTATATCCTAAATTGAGAACAATCCTTGTAGCTGTGGATGTCCTCAATCTGCAGCCAGTACCAGCGGAGTGAGGGAAACATGTTTTTTAATTAATCTATTTCCAAACAAGCTTGGTTGCTTATAATTCAGAATTCATATATTTATATTCCACCCTTATTCCTAATTCTTAAATTCTATTGCTTTATACCGTATCTTTCTGAACAGGTTTGATGGATTAACTTGAAGAATTTTCAGCATAATCCATGGCATCTGTATTAGGTAGACTATTAAGTATTTACTAAATAACTTCTCACTAATAAAAGAAATTCAGATTCATCCTAGGCAAGATGAATGGACTGCTAATAATTACTATTAGTAAATAATTTCCAGAGAGCCTCTGATCCTTATAGTAGGTTAATAGGAATTGAATGAGAATACAGAAGCATGTGTATTAATGGCTTAATTCTCTGCACTAACCAACTGCAACATTAGCTAATGGTCTTAAATCTTATAATAGAAGTCAGAAATTTTTCTCCATAACTAGGTATAGAAAAAGGTCATCAAGATTTATCTAGAATGCTATATATTATTTATTGATTTGGCTCATTCTTGCTAATGCTAGGATTCAGTAGGTAATGATAATGTAACTTAGAATCTGG